GAATATAAGGGAAGTAAAGAGTGCCTTGTTTTCCTTCAATACAGGGCAAGGGCAAAATAAGTGATGAAGTAACACAAGGATGTATGGCTTTCTTCTTTCTTATCTCAACTCCTGCCTCTGGCAACTCAAAAGTCATCTTCTTCCAATGCTTTGTGATGGAAAGCAACCCTCAAAAATCTTTGGCAGTATCTTACTTCATAAGTATTACTTCTCATATTATTCGGACTAAAATGAGCCTTATGGGCACAGCTACCTAGACCAAGAGGGAAATATTAACAGCATAGAGAGGAAAATAAGCTCTGCCCTCAAATCTGATCTGTGATGCTTTCTGTCCTTCACTACTATTATTATCTATTCTCTGATCCAGACTCTGGACTATTTTGCTCCACCCTTCCTGCACTGACTGATTTGTTTGGACCTGACTTCTGATTATTTTAGATTTATGTTGTCTATCCAACATTTTTAGTCTTGAATACTTCTCTAGAGTCAGTACTCAGATTTTTCTTCCGTATAATTTCATTTCACTTCATCTGTTCTATTTTCCTTGAACATATATCTGTCCTCAACATGCTTTCAATAATAACACCAATATATTTTATATACGCAGGTCTCAACATGACATACATTTCTGGAGAGAACACTAGGTTCCATCATATCATCATACTCCAGAAAGAAATATTTTGAGAAATAAAATTTACTTAATTTGAAAAAGCTATTATGGAGGTTCTGAGATTCTTCACCACAGAACTTTCATTTCATAAATGTGAATTCACATAAATACAGAGCTGGAAGAAACCCTAGCTGTCTAGTTTTATTCTCTTAAAACACAATTTTGAGGAAACTGAAGCCAAGAAATAGTAAGCCAAATGTCCAATATTACAAAGTTAACTCGTATTATGCTAGAAGCCAGGCCCCCAGGCCCAGGGCACTCGCCTGTCCACTTCGTGATGTTGTCTTTGAGTTTCACATTATAATCATTACTGAAGATGTTGATACCCAAGTATTCATTTTTACAGTGTAAATATATGTTTGGAAATCTTTGGTTTAGGAGATTTAGCTTTAGAGCATGGAGTTGTTCAAAATCATAAAAAAAGTATATCCCTCGACAGAATGTAGTTATAAATTTTATCTTTTACATATTGAAGATCACCTTGCAATTCTCCTTTTTTGTATTAGACACCTATCTGAAATCCCCCTTTTTGTATTTTATTTTGTGATGCAAAGTCCATTGTTGACAAATGGAAATCAAATCTAGATAGGGCCTGACAATCTGGAGCACTGCTTTGATACAAACAAAAAATACCAATGATAGAAAAAACATAGAAATTCATAATCTAATGTGTTTCTTTCTATTAATTCCTCTGAAAGAACCAGAGGCATCTATGAGCCACAATTGCACTATAATTTCCCATTCTATAAACATTATGTTTGTGTTTTATTATTCTAAGCCACATTTGGTCTATAATACATCTACCTACTATTTATCGTTGCTTACTTGGGCTAGGCAAGAAATTGTAAAAGTGTTTACATGTTCAAAATCTCCTTTATGAAAACACAGTATATTTCCAAAAGACACAGGTCACAGAAGCAACATAGTCCAAGTATCCCAAGGAGAAAAGTAGTATCCAAATTATGCATTTCTCTTGATATAAAATTCTTTTAGATTTTAGTTCAACATATTAGTTATTCCAAATTCCATTTTCATCTGATCTATGAGGCTGCAAAGGCTATTCTGGAAAGCTGATCCCTCTTCACCTATACATGTTTCTATCATATTCTTGACCAGTAGAATCAGACAAAGCTAATAAGAGACAGGAGTCAAAACAGTTTTCCATCGGTGGCTCATTGCTCTCAGTGAGAGTGAAAGCTGTGGATTTGGAACAAGATAACAATTTCAAAGTCTAAAGCATGGGGAAGGAATTTGAAATGGTTGTGTCTGATGAAGATGTGCTATGTGCCCTTGGGGAATATCACTCAATGTCTGGATGTCTTCAACAGAAAAGGTCAACAGATATCTGCTTCTCCACAGTGCTGAGAATTTACTTAAAGGTCCGATGGCTGTGAAAAGTGCTGAAAGACTACCTAATACATGAACTCCTAAGTCAGACTTTCATGAGAATGTGAAGGGAAAGAGCCAGTATGGGAAAGGTGAGACTACTTGATTACCTTGAATTTTAGGGATAGGGCAGTTGTGATTAATTGCATATTCTGCTTGACTGAGGATCAGTCACAAAACCTCAAAATACTTCTTTTGTTGTCATTCAAAATGTTTCTGAGATAATGGACTTCTGCAATAAGGAAGAATAATGTGATACATTGAGATTCTGGAGTTAAGTAGATTGACGTTTGGATCCCACCTTCACCATGTAGAATGTATTAAGCAATTGATTTAGCCTCTGTGAGCTTGAGTAAATCAGGGTGATAATTGTCATGCAAATTGGTTATGAAGGTTAAAGTAAATTAAATTGCCAACTGAGTATAAAGCCTTAAAAACGGTGCATGGCACATAATAGATAATAGATAACTCCAAATGTCTTAGGTTGGGTTCTTAAGACACAGAGCCTGAGACAGGGATTTTTATGCCAGTGATTTATTGAGAGAGTGCTCTCAGGTAAAACTTGTCAGGGAGCGAATGGGAGAAGAGGAATGAGGAGGGAACAGATGAAGATTTACACTTGCTTTGATCCCTTGAGGAACTCTAAATGGTGAATGACATTGCAAAACCTTCCCACACTGAGAGGTGCTGTGGGCAAGTGGTGTGGGGGCACTATTTTGGAGTCCTTCATCAACAAGTCATTGGTTACTGGCCACCTCTGGAGATAATGTGCAACCTCCCACGCCTTTCTGGGAAAGATGTTTCCAGCCACTGAGGGCAATTCTCAGGAGTAGTGGGCAGCTCTGAGCTGTTAGCAAACAACACTTACAGCAGCTGGGGGATAAGGGCATTAGTCTCGTGAAGGATATGGGCAGGGCAGTGTCTTCTACACTAAAGACAGCTGGATGCTTAATGAGGACAGAGGCTATAGCTCATGTGTTTTTATATTTCCTACTCATTCATTATTCAATCATTCTTTCAGCAATTATTTATTGTGGGCCACCTCTATTCCAGTCACTCTTTAGGCACATGGGCTATATCAGTGAATGAAATGAAGATCACTTCCACCTGGAGCTCACATTTCAGTAGGTTCAGTAGAAATCATAAGCAAATAGGTATATAAATAATTACATATCATATTATATTAAGTACTACGGTAAATGGATAAAAGCATTGTCTTTTCATCATTAAAAATGTGCACCATCTTGACACTTGATTTCTAAACTCTGGTCTCCCTGCGGAGTATTGTAGATGTTTATTGTATAGAATAACATAGGCATGGATTTTTATTTTATTTTGTAGTCGAAGAAACCTTAGAGATTAAGTTCAAGGTTTGCTTGAATTTGCACTGATCTCAATATATAATTTGGTTTTTGCCTATAGGTTTGATAGAATGTAATTTATTTGTTTTTATTTCCTCCAAAATTGGAGTTTTGACAGTTTTTAGTTCATTATGCTTTCTGGCATTTTGAATTCATTCATTTGTTCACTAATTTTATAAGCAGAATTTAGTGCCTACTATATGCGAAACACTGATAAAGTTTGTAAAGGGTAGGACAAAAATCTCTGCCTCCAGGAGCGTATAGTATACGAGGAAAGATAAGTTGGGTATACTAATAGCTCTACCATAAGGAAGAAAGCACGGGAATCAAGAGACCTACGTATGAGGCCGTATGAAAGAGTGAGAGATTACTTGTGGCCATCAAGGTTCAGAGAAGCCAAATGGAGAAGGTTTCCCCTGGAGCTCAAAGCCTGGCTAACTAACAGATACTTGGACATGCAGGTAACTTTTGGAGCAGAAGGAACCTATAACCAAGAAATAGAGGCAACAAAAGGCTAAATGTATTTGCAGGATAATGAATAGCTCTGGCTGGGTCTCACTCCTGAGGCAAAATAGTGAGTTAAAAAGATAAATGTATGACTCAAAAGAAAAGAATTTTAGTCAAAGGTGTTCTAGTCAAAGATTTTTTTTGATAGGAAGAAACAGAAACCCACTTGAGTTAACACACTTACAAGGAATTAGTAAAAGAAAATAGGGAGATTGCACAAAATTCAAGATGGGGAAAATACAATTACGCTCATTAAAACTTGCTGGAAATTAGGAAGTTTCAAGGGCTCTCTTTGCATCTCCTGTGACATCTTCTGTCTCTAGTTCTTGTCTTCACTTCTCCTTAATTTGTCTGCTGCACCCTTCTTTTTCCCATACTGGTTTCCTGTATTTACTTATTTTTCTGATACAGATACTTGTTTCTAATGTCTGGCGATGAACAAAGGCAATCATTTCCAGGTCTTGTGGTACAAAGTTTTTGGGAGATACCTGAGCCAAGTCACCTTGGCAGTGGAAGGCAGGCATCGGGAGCTTGCAGCCCACTCAGCAGATTCTGGGCTGGGTGCCTTTGCAGGGGAATTCTGGCAGGGCAGGCAGGATGGGGGACTTGTCATGCAGATTGCCTGGCTGAGTAGCTCCATTCTTCAGGAGGAAGTGGAGAGCCTAGGAAGCTTTCTGAGTAGGAGTTTCCAGTTCATTTATTATTGGTAGTATTACTTTTTGCTTTCTGAGTTTTATGAACTGCTAGCAACATTGGTTCCCTCCATAATTCTGTTAACTGTGCAAACTTGTACATCTGAAAACAATGAGTAGATGGCACCAAGGTCTCTCAGAGACGCAATTACAGTAGATGCCCCTGGTCTGGGAGTGTATATGACAGACCCTCACTAAACTCACTACCTTCTGTTGAAAGTACACGTCTTAAGAATTTATCTCCCTGTGAGATTGAGGGTTCTTTTAAAGTAGGGATCACATCTTAGAGCCTAACATAGTGCCTGGCATATAATAGAACATCAATGCTTGTTTCTGTTTTTCTGAGGAGTGTGTCTCTCCGAATGTACTTTAACTGTATTTTTTTTAAAATTGCAAGTCCCCAAGAGGGCTTTATTGTTTCTTTTCAATGTCCTGTTCTGCAGCTTCCGGCTCTTTTTGCTCGAATGCGAAGAGCCGGGCGTTGGCACCGGCCATGCGGAGACTCGCGAAGGCTTTGCGATTCTTCTCGTCCTGAGTGATGACTCGTGCTTTCTCCTTCTTACAGACACTCCGGATGCGCATGACCGGTCCCGTCAGCTGCGTGGCAAGCTTCAGTTCTTCAGCAGAACTGCCGCCCTTCCGGGGGGCAGAGGCCTTCCTGGGGAACAAGACGACTTTGGAGCGGTACTCCTTCAGCCGCTGCGCGTTGGCCTGCAGGGACTCGGTGGACTTATTCTGCTTCCTCGGATCCACAGAAATGCCAGTGGTCCGGGCCACCTTTTTGTGAACGTCGGCCACCCTGAGCTCCTCCAGGCTGAAGCGTTTGTGTGATACCCAACTGTGTGGCAGCCCACGGCGGGCCGGATGGGCCCCCACGCGGGGGCGGGGCTCTGCAGCGCGCCTTGTCTTGCCGGGCCTTGCGTCTACGTATCTTCCGGGCAGGCTGGTTGAACCACGTGGCCACGCGCCGCTGCCGGTGCTTGTGGAAGCGGGGCTTGAAGATCATGCAGTTCCGGCTGGGCGCCGTGGCTGCACACGGCCCTGCGGCTCCTGCGCAAGACAGCTGAGCCGAGAGGAAGCAGTGCCGCCACGCCTAAACTGTATGTTAAATGCATGAATCCGTACATACGTTAGGAATGAAGCGCTGGCTCCCACACATCTAAAATTAGAAAACTGTCAAACAATGATTGTCTGCCCCGGCTCTTTCCCTAAGGAAATAGTGTGGAAAAAATGGGATAGGCTTTGAGAAGATTTTTGACATTGAAATCAGCTTTTATTTGAATTCCAACTTGCCATTTACTGGTCAGTTGGAATGAGGTGGGGCAAATTACTTAAAACATCTTAGCTTGTTTTCTCATTAGTAAAGTGGAAATAATATGTATTATTTATATACATGCAAATTTGTGTGGGATCATGTATCTAAATTTCCATGCAAAGCACAGTGTCTAAAATTCCAATATTTATAGTTATTGCCATTATCCTTGTTGGTGTCAGGATTTCATACCATAAAAAAAAGTGATATAATTTTTTTATGAAAGAAAATTATGAGAAAGATAGGAGGAGTCTACTAATAGGCATTATACCATCATAATTAAGAGTAAATTTTGTTTCAAAATTGTGTCTCTAGCAAGTTAGGCCTCAATTTTGTACTCTGTAAAATGGGGATAGTAACAACACTTGCCTTTAAAGCTTGGAGGAATTTACCTAAAGACTGCATATGGTGCCTGGTGCATAGAAAGTTTTCAATATATTAAGAGTTAGTAGTAGTAGTGGTCTCTCTCTGTCTCTCACATATCCACACATCACCACTACCAAATCTATTAAATACTTTGTCTTTGCTTCAGCTGAGTTTTATTCCATATGGACCACAGGTGATTAATAACATTACAGGACAGGTGGAGAGAGAGAAAGAGAGAAGGGTTTGTGTATGCATATAAGGGAGAAACATCTAAGACTATCTCAAGATTCAAAATAACTATTCCAGAGACCCTGGGCAAGGGCAGTGAAAAATCAAAGCAGCTAAATCTCCCTGAATCCCAAACCAAGTGTTTACTCCTTAGCAAAACAAAGCTGCTGAAAGAGAATCAGCAGAACAAAAGCAGAGACTTGGAAAGTAACTTTGAGAGATATTAGGGGGAGTTGTAAAGAACCTGTCCTTTCTAATCCCAGAGTTGCTGAAACTACAGAAAAGCTAGTGGAAATTAACCGTTTGTGTCACAGGCGGAGCACCATATGTTGGTTCCCTTCCCTGGAGAAAGAACAGCAAGCAATTGCTTCCCCTTCCCCAGCGAGGCCGTTGAGCTCAGTCTGTGCTCACTTGGGCTCTCTAATGAAATGCAATTTAACAAGTCAGGTCCCAGCATACTTAACCTTTGGACCACGGATACCTATGTTTCTCTGGAGAAAGAGCCAGTTGTGCTTGTCTTAGTGACTGTGATGCAACCACTGAAAGGAAAAAAAAAAAAAAAAAAGGCTTATACCCACTATGATTTTGTAATGGCTCCAACAAAGAGCTTAAAAGATTTCAGATGCATTCAGAAATGAAACTCTGCTGGTCCTCCTGAGCCAGCATCTCTTCTGAATGCCAGAGGGACTGACAATGACAAAACCCAGACTCAACTGATGATGCAGGCGTGGTGGTATTTGGGTTGTCTAGTCATGACAAGGCATAAACAAATCTCTTTGCCACCGTTTGCATGTGAAAAATGGCATCTCATTAGGCCACTTTCTACCCAGCTCCAATGGCAAGTTGTCCCAGTACTACCACCCCCACTCCCTGAGTGGATCTTTGGGAAACTGGCCTTGAATATAGAATGTGGAATTTTTTTAAAAGAATAAATGTGCTAATTCCCTGTTTGGTTATATAAATATTTCTAGTCAAAGGTAGACTGACAGTAAGGGATTCAGCACAGCTGGACATGAGGTTGGCTCCTGCTGACATCAATGAAAAAGGGCAGATCTCAGAGATGGGGTCTGACTTCGAAAGAAATGAAAACTGAGAGCTTGCTACAAAGACAGAATTTTTTTTAAAACCAAGGTGCTTGTAACAATTGCTTCTGGTGCGTACAGGGTCCCCCGTCTGTAGAGATAAGTCCAAGACCCCCAGTGGATGTTTCAAACTGCAGATGGTACTGAATCCTGTATGTACTATGTCAGTCACTCTGTTAACTGAGACTACTAAGTACCCAGTAAGTAAGTAGTGTGCACAGTATGGATATGCTGGACAAAGGGATGATCATGTCCGAGATAGGAAGGTGTGAGATTTCATCATGCTGCTCAGAAGGGCATGCAATTTAAAACTTGTAAATCATTTCATTTCTGAAATTTTTTGTTTAATATTTTCTGAATGAAGTTGACTACAGGTAACTGAACCCACAGATAAAGGGAAACTACTGTACTCTTTTTCTTTTTTTTGAGATGGAGTTTCACTCTTGTTGCCTAGGCTGGAGTGCAATGGTGTGATCTCTGCTCAGTGCAACCTCTGCCTCGCAGGTTCAAGCGATTCTCCTGCCTCAGCCTCCCTAGTAGCTGGAATTATAGGCGCCAGCCACCATGCCCAACTAATTTTTTGTATTTTTAGTAGAGATGGCATTTCACTATGTTGGCCAGCCCAGTCTTGAACTCCTGACCTCAGGTATCCCAAAGTGCTGGGATTACAGGCATCTGTACTCTTTAGATGATAAGAAAGGAACTGTATTTCTGTAACTTGGACAAGAGAAACTAAGGGGAAGAGTATGTGACAGAGGGGCTGGAATGAAGCAGTGGTGGAATTTTGTGACCATTTTTGTAAGGGAATGGAGACTTAACACATGGAGGATACTAACGTCTACTTTGATTTGCTTTACTTCAAGTTCTGGGGTATGAGTTATAAAGAAATGCATTCTCTGTGTAATTAAAAATGCCTAGGATTTTGTACCAATGAGTCTGATTAGGCAGAGTAAGAAAGTATTGCTCAATAAATGTTTGCTGAATTGAATGTTCCATTGGTTTGAATGAGTCCTCCAAAGTCCATGTGTTGGAAACTTAATCCCCAGTGCAACAGTGTTGAAAGGTGGGACCTTTAAGAAGGTCACAAGGCTCTACCTTCCTGAACGGATTAAAACAGGAGTGGGTTAGTTACTTTGGGAATGTGTTACTGATAAAAGGATGAGCTTGGCCCTCTTGCCCTCTCTCACATGTGCTCTCTAGCCCTCTCACTTTCTACCGTAGGATGATATAAACAAAGGCCCTCACAAGGTGGCAGCCCCTTGGTCTTGGACTTCCCAGCCTCCAGAACTGTACAAAATCATTTTCATTTCTTTATAAATGACCTAGTCTGTGGTATTTTGTTATTGTAACACAAATTGGACTGAGACAAAGGCTTACATTTCCAGGCTCAGATTTTTGTCACTGTGACTATGTAATGTGAGTCTCATTGTAATATGACTCACTGACAAACAAAATTATACACTGCTGCACCACCCACCTCAACACAATACTGCACGATGACAAAGCCTCTGATGAAGGAGAATTCAGGCTGCTTGCATAGCCTACCTGTATAGGGGCCACCTTCACAGCCAGTGGGTGGTAAAACAAATGAAGTGATGACTGCATGACACAGAAACCTAGGTGGTCCCTAGTAGACCGCAAACAACCAGAAGATGAGAACAAATTACTCTGAAAAGTAATGGATTACCTTTCTGCTTGCCCTCCTCTCTTTAATAAAAATTTATTTATTTGCTTTCTCTCTCACTATGTAAATTTGGCTTAGTTAGGATTTTACCATAGAGCTTCCAAAAAGAAAGATTTTACCAAAAAGAAAGACATGAAGGGAAAAGGAAGAACAGAGGAAGAGAAGGAGTGGGGTAAGAACAACATAATTTAAAGAAAAAAGCAAACAGCTTTAATGAAGTCAGAACTACAATGAAGTTGGCTATTCATAAGCCAGAAGCCAAATTCTAGCCATATACAAATCAAAAGGGGATTGTAGGTATGTGTACATGTCTGTGCATGTATGCACATGTCAGAGACAGGCACAGTCATATCAGATAGCCTCAGCACATGCCAGCTCCATCACCCACAGTGGAAACTCAGCCATCTTATAAGTTTCTTCTTTCCTTTCCCCCAACATGGTATAAGTTACCAGGTTCTGTGATTATCTGCCTTAGCCTATGTTCCACCAAAACAAAACCTGAGACAAGTTCTATGTACAGTGGTTTAATATGAGAGTGGACCTAGGGAGCAGGGAAAGGTATAGCAGAATGAACAGACAAGGAGCAGAAAGCCAAATCAAGGTTGCATTACTGAATTGGCCACTGCTGCAAATCTTTGATCCTGTGGGATCTTTCTTGTGAAATGCATCAGAATTGTCCATGCAGAGAACTTCCCCCTACCGTCACTCAACCATGGCCCCATGGGCGTTAGCACATATTTCTGGCTTGTGCATGTGAGACTGCAGAGTGGGTTCTTGGGGCATTCCATGCAGTATCATCAGGTCAAGTAGCATGGAGTACATGGCCTTGGCTAGGGGCGTATGCTCTGTTTGCACCTGCCCAGAGCTAGTTGAAGTCTGTGCAGAAATGGTGATGGCCACAGTGGTCAGAATAAAGGGTAGGGAAGGATTTGAAATAGCACAAAAGAAGTATATAACTTTTTTCCCACTGTCACTACCCTAGTTTAGGGCATCACTTGCCTAAATAATTATAGTAACCTCCTAACTGACATCCTTGTCTGTGAATCTCTTTTCCTTCAAGCCTACCATGAATATACTAGCAGGATCATGTTTCTAAAATTCAGATCTGATTATACGCTTTTCTTATTAAAATGCTTCTCCTCCCTTACTCTTTTCTTATTTGCACATTTTGTACCTTTGTATGTTCCTTGACTTTCCTTTGAAGTTCTGGTATAACACAAGAGGTAGTTTTCAAAATCTTCCCAATATACCTCTCTGGCTTCATTTCTCACCTCCTCCAAACAGGCATCCTTCAAACTATCCATGATGTGTGAACCTGCAAGATGCCCTATGCTCAGAGAGCCTGCCTGCCCTTGAGTATCTCCATGTCACCCTGCCCCAGGACCATCCCTCAGAAAACTCTTCAGGAAAAGCAGGCAGCTCTTTTACTCAAGGGTTCGGTTAATCCGCCCTGAAGAGTACAGAGCCTGATAACTGGGAGTTGTGGGGGTAGCGATGGTTTTGCTAACCTGTTCCTCCTCACCAAACAAAGGTGCTCCTATTTCTAGTACCTCATGGCAGCAATCTCATTCTCTGCCTTGATCCCCCTTATCTTGTCTCTTTCCTGAAACTTCCTTTTTAAAATCCTCCACATAAGGTTATCCACCCCAACCTCTCCTTGGGAAAAGGAAAATATCTTGGGAAGTTCTCTTCGTGGCATGGAGTGTTTAGGGAAGCGGGTGGGGAGGTGATGAGTTCCACCTGAATTTACCTAACATTAAATTATAATTTCACAATTGTGAAATACTTAAGTGTTTTCTTCTGAAGATCATATGGTCTATTCTTACCTGAGAAACATTCCTCAGTTAAAATGACATTGAGCCTATTAATTGCAAAGTAATAACTCTGGGTTTATCGTGCTAAGGGAAGAAGGTAAGCTCTATGAGGGCAGGATTTTTTGTTGTTATATTGACTGTTTTATCTAGAGCACCGGGAAAAGCCCCTGACACACAGCAGGACATGCTCTACTTTCTGGGATTTCTTTTGTTACAAAATACCTCTTGATTGACAAAGAATAGATTGATTTTTGCCTTCCTTAAGTAATTCTCACAGGTAGTGAGGATTTGGAGGATGTGGAAATGATGTCTCAATTCTGTCAATGGGTTACAATTTCTAATGATAACTTTATGAAAAACATTAAAATGAATGTATTCTTATGTGGTATTTTTCCCCCCCAAAAAATAGAAGTCCACAGAAGGAACTCTTTAATCCCAAAGACATTTCCCAGTTTCATGTTCTGAAAGCTGTCACTATGGACAGGCTGTGTTTTTAGTTTTGCTGGTAACCACGCAACTTTGGAAAATACACTTGCCCTTCTGTTTCTTGTTATTATCAGCTGGAGAGAATTATTGATATGAAAGATCAGGAAGTAACACCACATCCTTGCCCACTCAGATTCCTCTTTCTCCTTGTCTCCTATTTTTTTTTTCATATTTTACTTTTCAAAACAATTTTTTGATTCAAATTTTGGGAGCATTTTTGGCTTTTTTGGGGGGGTATCTAAATTATTTTGAGTTATTTTGGGGGGTCTGCTGTATTCAGCATATTCCTATCCACTTATTAAACTTCTTAGATCTTTTAATTTCCTGTTTGGGACTGGCTGTTCCTTTTTATATAGCATTCTGTTCTTGTTTAATTGATACAACATCTTGAATATCTGAGGATTTTAATTAAAATTGTTTGAAAAGTTTCTCTCTCTTCCCTAGATTATCTCTGTTTCCTTTGTGATTTTGGTCCTTTTCTTTACTTGCTGTTGGTTTTCTTCCAATATCTGTTGATAATTTTCAGTTTATATTTATGAGTGATGGTTATGTCATTGGCTATACTTTCTCTGCACCTGTATAGATTCTTGGATTAAAGAGCTACTTCTAGGCTCTTTATAAGTAGGTTTCCCTCCAGAAGGCAGTTTGAGGGTTCCTATCTACACTTGCAAAGGAGGATAACTTTTATTTTGGTGGCAGAGAACTTAGGAATGCAGTATTTCGCTTAAGGACAGAGTTGCCTTTCCTTGTAATTTCTCAACTTGTCCCTCTCCTTCCCCCTAAACACACTATTGTATATCTGTGTAGGGGGGGTTCAAGAACTACCTAAAGCCCTGGTTTTCTTTTCTGATACTCTCGCAAGGTGAATTTTCCAGGAAGATCAATTATTTTTCTTAGACAACCATTATTCATTTTTGTTTCAATGAAACATTTAGAGGAAGGAAATAAATGTGAGCATTAAGTCTTTACATTATATACCACATCTTTCTTTTACTGTATGTAGGTATTAGAGTGATTAATAAAACACACATTTGTTCAAAAACATTACTAAACATGTAAATTTTGCTGTACTGTGTGTTCTCAATTGGTAGATGCTAAAGCTACAACTATTTTCATGTAAAGTTTAAAAAAAAACTCTTCAGTGTTAAAATTTCGCAACAGGGAACCTCTATCTTAGTTATAGTGTCCATCATCTGGGGGTGACTCCTGGAATTTGATGCATGCTTGTTGCCTTCATGCTGCCTTCTCTGTTTCAAATGCCCATCTAATCTCTTCTGCTTGCAAAATCCTACCATTTTGAAGGTCTAGCTCAATGATCAATTTCTTTGTGAAGTTTCTCCTCATGCTCTGAGACAGAATTAATTGCACCGTCTTCATTATTCTCTGAGCACTCTGTCCATTCCTCTAGCATAGCAATTACCGCATTATATGATTGTTGTTCACATTCTCTCTCATTCACTGCACTCTAGTCTTACTTATCTTTTCACTTTTTAAATTTTGAATACCCAATGCAGAATTAACTTGTTGGCTTATATTGAACTGCAGATTTTTCTTTATTTTCTTTTTTTGAGACAGAGTCTCACTTTGTCGCCGAGGCTGGAGTGCAGTGGTGCGATCTTGGCTCACTGCAAACTCTGCCTCCCGGGTTCAAGCAATTCTCTACCTCAGCCTCCTGAGTAGCTGGGATTACAGGCGTGTGCCACCATGCCTGGCTAATTTTTGTATTTTTCAGTAGTGATGGGGTTTCACCATGTTGGCCAGGATGGTCTTGCATTCCTGACCTTGTGATCCACCTGCCTCAGCCTCCCAAAATATTGGGATTACAGGTGGGAGCCACTGCCACCAGCTGACAAATTGCAGATTTTTCTTTTATGGAGGAGAGAGGAGAATATGTCTCTTTCTATTGTCTGGAAGTTCCCTTAGGGTAGAACTTGTGTTTACCATTGGCTTTGTATTATTCATTCATTCATCCATTTGCTGAATTTAATGGATGAATGAATTTAGGGGTGCCTATGGTGTGTCAGACATTGCATCAGTCCTTAGAAAAATGTGGAACATGGTAGACAAGGTCTCTGTCTTTATGTAGTTTGCAATCTCCTGGGCATTTCACCAGGTTGCTAAGTGACTCGTGGAAGTCACCCCAATGGCATGTCAATAGATAATTAGTCAATGATATTTGTCAGGTATTTCTTATGCATTCATATCAATGCTAAGCTTTGTAGGTAGATTCTTTCTATAAAGAACTTAGGATGTAAAAATTAGTAGAGTTCTGTACAAAATGGCGTAAAGACTCAGCAAATTAGATGGTTCATAATGCAAAGACATTAGCAGTTTAGAGAGTCTTACGGGCAAGTTTGTCTGGAAATACCATAGATGGGCATACCAAAGGCCTTTGGATGATCCCCTGAAGCCCTTTTTCTCTGCTCCCTTTGCCTCCAGTGCCTAGCATGCAGACTTGCCTGAAGAAAGAGTTTTAACATGTTTGCTGTGGTTGAAAGCCTATGCAACTGTATGAGGATCCAGGTCCACGGCCAAGTTTCACAGGAAATGGTAATGGACTTGAGACCTGAAGAATAAGGAGTAAATAGGTTGTGATGGGGCATAAGAGGATTTCAGATAGACCAAGAATATCTGTGGAGGCCTACAGGAGGCAAAGAGCAGGGATTTCAAGGACTCGATTCTGTCAATATGGCAGGAGTGCAGAGAAGGCAGTGTGGGAATGTCAGGAGATGAAGCTGAAAACACAGAAGTGAAATCATGCAGGAGTTTGTTACCCTGCTGGTGTTATGTAATACAGGTCCTCTGCCTGCATAATGCTCAATTATGGTGATGCTTTCTCTGACCTTGATGTGTTATAAATTCACTTTTGATTTTAGGTTTTGCTAACATATACATTTACACACACCCACACAAATATACATACAAAGTTATATAAAAGAGCACTTGACATGACCCCTTTTGTGCCAATATGAAATCCTCCAGTGACAAAATGTTGACAATTCAGGGGTGAATGATTACTTTGTAATGTCGACAAAAGAGTAAAGCCATCAGGTCTTAAGACAAAATGAATCTGTTGAAGGAGAGGGAAAATGATTAAGGATGAAGACAATGCTCAAGAAAAGATTATTATGGAAGATAAGAAATAGTACCCAGTATAAAAAGTACCCTTGATGTGTGACTCAGCTCCAGCGTATAGAGAGTTCTATTCTTGTGTCTGTCACAGGAGGAATCTAGGTGGGACCTCATCCTCTTCTTCTACTAAGATTGCCAAAGGGAGGTGAGCTATCCTATTTCTTCTTGCAAAACAACAGAGCTTTCCTGGGAAGAGTATATTAGTGGAACAATTACAGCTGCATACTTAAATATGCAGACAGCTTTCAATTACTGGAAGGAAAGAGATGAGAATGTTAAAAAAAAAAACCTAACAACAGATAATCCAAAAATCACTGAATCTTGGCTTTTGAATAAATTGCTTTGTTTTCTTGCAGCAGCAGATTTGTGGTCCTAATTATGCCTTGCTTAAGCTAATATTAAAATGAGCTTGCATTCCCAGAGAAAGCACACACCAGCTGGGCAAAGAAAAGAGGGGGTCCAAAAACTTGGTGAGTGTTGGGTTAGGGGTAGTCATAGTGGAAGTGGTCTAGGACTGAATATTTGCTATAGTAATAAAATATAACCCTTCCAGACTCTCCCCAAGTCACATAAATATCCTGTAGCATACAAATACACATACACACAGGAAAATGTATTATTGCTAAATCCAGGAACTAAATAAAAGCAAGCACAACTTTACATATAGTGTAGAAAATAATTTCTTGTTTAAGATTATCTTGCATTTCAAAAACCACATTGCCTTTGTTATAACTTCGTGGTGGAGGGAACCACATTTAAAAGCTGATTGACCTCTGTGAAGTTTAAACTGTAATTATCACTTAACCTGTGAAAACTCTGCCAGTATTATAACAGTAAGTCCCTTCAGAACCATAATTAAATTTCTGCCTGTG